CCAGGAGTTGGAGGTTGCTGTGAGCTGTGATGCCATGGCACTCTACCCAGGGGGATAGCTTGAGGCTCTGTCTCAAAAAAAAAAAGGTAAATTTATTTCAGGTTAATATGAGGGTACAACCAGGTCAAAAAAGTTGATTTTGTCAGGTAGGGTCCCTCTTGTGGTTGTGTCCCACAGACAAAGGTGTGCCAAAAACCCCAACTCTGTGCCTACTGAGAACACCCACCCCCCGCTCCCTCAGTACCTCTCCCACTAACTTGAAATAAGTTTTTCTCCTACACGGGCATGCATCAGATTGTCTGGCTTTATATTAGTATTGAGTACATTGGATAATTGCTTTTCCAGTCTTGTGATAATTTACTAAGAAGAATATGTTTCAAGTCCATCCAGGATATTACAAAAGATGTGAAGACATCATCATTTTTATGGCTGAATAGTATTCCACGGTATGCAGACAAAGCATTTGATAAAATTCAGCATCCTTTTCTAACAAGAACACTTAAGAATATAGGCATAGGTGGCAAATTTCTTAAACTGACTGAAGCCTTCTATGACAAACCCACAGCCAGTATCATACTGAATCGAAGCTTTTCCACTTAGAACTAGAACCAGACAAGGATGTCCTCTATCACTACTACTATTCAACACAGGGTTACCGGCTTATTAGAAGCTCTCTTATCAACTGATCCTCTGATATAGTTAAAGTATAGTATAGTGATTTTTCTTTTAGAGTGAAGGAAAGGTTCTCCACAATTTTTAGTATTGGCAATTTTAGTCTTCTCATAAATGTTTCTTCCACTTAATTAAAATAAAAGATTTTCTGGTATTTATTTTTTAGAACCAGGATCTTGCTTTATACCCCAGGTTAAAGTACAGTGATGTGATCATAGCTCACTGCAGTTCAAACTCCTAGGCTCAAGCAGATCCTCCTGCCTCAGCATCCCAAGCAGCTAGCAGTACAGGTATGCACCACATCTGACTAATTTTTAAATTTTCTGTAGAGACTGTGTCTTACTATGTTACCCAGGCTGGTCATGAACTACTAGGCACAAGTGATCTTTCTGATTCAGCCTCCCATAGTGCTTTAGAGGAGTAAGCCATGGTGCCCAGCCAATACTCTGGTATTTAAAAACAAAATAAAACATTGGAGGTGGGAGAAGATAATTAATTAAAGATTAATTTGCTAAAGGACTAACAGGTGAAGTTTTCTGGAGAAATACAATAAATATTATTTTAAGTTCTACTTTTCCTGGCTCGGTGCCTATAGCTCAACCAGCTAAGGCACCAGCCACG